GGTTCCGACTCGATGGCACCTGACAACAACAATTCTTTTTATAATCTCCTAATAAAATAAATATATTCAATTATAAGAGTGTCCAGACTCTGATGCATAGGAAAATTAATTTATATTTAGTGAAGAAATTAATAAGTGAGCCACAGGGCTATAACTGTAGAAGGAAGAAGAATAACAGCCAGTGTATTATATGTAATACCTTTTGCATAAGCTATTAGATCTTGTCCCTAGTATATTTCTTGATGTTTATAAAATTCAGAATTTACAAATGGATAATTAATTATTCTTAACATTGAAGCATTTAGGGAAAACCCCCCATAAATAATGTAATTCAGAGTAGATGGTGCTTTGTTGTTGTCAGGTGCCACCAAGTTGACTCCAATTCATAGCTCCCTTATGAATAATGGAAGGAAACACTCCGCTACTGCGCTGTCCTCACGTTTGTTATGTTTGAATTCAGTGTTGCTGCCACTGTGCCATTCCATCTCCTTGAAGGGTCTTCATCTTTTTCACTGATCCTGCACTTTACCAAACCTGATGTTTCTCTCTAAAGGCTGATCCCTCTGGATAATAAGCCTTGTCTTCATCCCTTCTGACTGTACTTCTAAGACAGATTTGTTTGTTCTTCTGGTAGTCCATGGTCCTTTCACTATTTTTCACCAACACCATAATTCAAATGCATCAGTTTTCCTCCTGTTTTATTTATTCATTGTTTAGCTTTCACATGCATATGAGGTCAAATTCACCTTAGTTCTCAAAGTCACATGTTTGCTGTTTAACGCTTGAAGCAGATTTTGTAGCAAATTTGTCCTATGCAATACGTAATTTGATTTCTTGACTGCTGCTTTCATGAGCATTGATTATAGATCCAAGTAAAACAAACTCCTGACAACTTCAGTCTTTTCTCCATTTATCATGATGTTATTTATTGGTCAAGTAGTGAAAATTTTTGTTTTCTGTACACTGAGGTATAATCCATACTGAAGGTTATCATCTTTATCTTTATTAGCAGTTACCTCAAATCCTCTTTGCTTCAGCAAGCAAGGTTGTGTTATTTGCATATCAGCTTGTTAATGAGTCTTCCTTAAATTCTGATGCCATATTCTTCCTCATGGTCCAGCTTCTAGAATTATTTGCTCAAAAAACATAATAAATATATATGGTGAAAGAGGTTACACAGCTAACACATTGAATAAGTAGAGTAAAATGTTACAATGCCAATTAATACCTTTCTTGATTTTAAACCATGAAGTGTTCTCTAGTTCTGTTCTAATGACTACTACTTGATCTATGTGCAGGTTCTACATGAACACAATGAAGTGTTCTGGAATGGTTGACCAACTGTTTTTGATACAATGACTCTGTGTATTCTTTTCATCTTCTTTTGATGCTGCCTGTATCCTTCAATATTTTGCCCATGTTGTTATGTTGTTTTAGGTGTCATTGATTTGGTACCAACAGAACGAAATACTTCCTGGTCCAGCACCATCCTCACAGTTGTTATGTTTGAGCCCATTGCTGCAGCCATTGTGTCAATCCATCTGGGGTTCTCTCTTTTTTACTTGCCCTGCACTTTTACCAAGCATGATGTCCGTATCCAAAGACTGGTCCCTCCTGATAAAGTATCCAATGTCTGAGAGACACATCTTTCCATCTTCCCTTTTAAGGAACATTCTGGGTATGTTGTTGTTGTTGTTAAGTGCCGTTGAGTCAGATCCGACCCATAGCGACCTTGAACAGGGTTTCTAAGAACTGTAATTACTTATGGGAACAGAAAGCCTCATCTTTCTCCTGCGGAGCAGCTGGTAGTTTCGAACTGCTGACCTTGCAGTTTGCAGCCCGATTCATAACCACTATGCTACCAGAGCTCCATATGTGTGTGTGTGTATATATATATAATTTGTCATCCCATGCATAGTAAATCTTATGATTATTTTGTTCAAAATGACCAATACCTTTTCATTTCAACTCACAGATTCCTAGGATATTGATCTTTATGTATTCCGTTTCATATTGATGACTTCTAATTTTCCTAGTTTCATACTTTTTGTACTCCACATTCTGACTATTAATGTATGTTGGCAACTGTTTCTAATCATTTTGAGTTATGACCCATCAGCAAATGAAGGTCCCCGAAGCTTTGCTTCATCCACATCATTATGGTTGACTCTACTTTGAAGGGAGTATCGGTGTTATGCTGTAGGATAAGCACTGTACTGCTAGCTGCAAGGTCGGTGATTTAAACTCACTAGGCACTCCATGGTTTTGCTCTGAGTTGGAACCTACTTGATGCACACAGCAACAACAACAACTATTTTGAGGAGGCAGTTCTTCCCAGTGATATTTTGAATGTCTTCCAACCTGAGGGGTTCATGTCATCTTTCAGCACTGTATTCTGATGATAATGCTTTGCTGCTATTCATAAGAATTTAAGTTGTTAATCTCTCAGAATTGGTCCACTTAGTCTTTCTTCCTATCTATTCTTAGTCTGGACACTTGGCTGAAACCTGCCCACCATAGGTCACCCTGCTAGTATTTGAGACACCACGGCACAACTTGCAGCATCACAGCAACACACAAGTCACCATAGTACAATAAAATGACAGATGTCTGAGGTGCTTATTGTTGTTGTTGTCAAGTGCCATTGAGTCGGTTCCAATTTAGTGAACCTGACTAGGGCATCTGAGGAGCGGTTGGTGGATTTGAACCTCTGACCTTGCAGTTAGCAATCCAGTACTTACCCTACAGTGACACTCCAGAACCCCTTGAAGTGCTTAAGGCATAGTAATTGTTCAATAATATTTCCTATTAATGAAAAGTACTAGTATTTATGGTATCACTCTAAGATACACTTATAAGGAAAATTGTTTGTTTGTTTTTTTTCCTAGCTTCAGGAATTATACTAGTTTAATAGGAACCACTTACCCTGGAAAATTGTGTCTCCTGGATTATGCCAAAGGAGTTGCTTTGGTATGTAGTTATTATCTAGTTACTCTTATAATTTTCCCATTTTATTAAATGTTTATTAATATTTTAAATATTAACTTTTTAAAACATCAGTAAACCTATTACTTAATTTATTTAAGAGTAAATAGAATACTTAAAAATCAAGTTGCCCATAGTGTTATAAGTAAAAGTTTAATTCTTTTGAACAGGGGTATTCATTAATCTTTATATTTAGTATAACTTTATGTTAATTATAAAATTTATTCATTATAAAATTTTCTAATTAAAAATGTGTGTACATTATGAATTTTTATTAGATATCTATTTTTCTCTTTTTAATATTTTATTACTGCATTCAATTATTTATTATTTGGGAGGAATAGATTACTTTAAGCAAGAAGCAGCAATGGGATTTTCATAATCTAATGTTTTCTGGAGTAAGTGAGAATAAACTTACTTCAACCAGGTTATTTAAAACTTAGTGAGGATAACAAACTAGTGAGTGTTTCAAATATTATTCTATACTATGATTTTTATCCTCATATTTTTGCTATTGTGTCTAGCAGGGGAAATGGAATCAGGTGATAAAAAAGATTCATCCTTATCACATTGGTTACTTGTGAAAGGTTTATGAACATAATTTTGATGCTATAATTGTTTTTCATAATAAAACCAACACTTACTAATCTGTAATTGATAGACTACTTGAAAGGAGCCCTGGAGCATAGTGGATTATGAGCTGGGTTGCTTAACTGTAAGGTCAGCAATTTGAATCTACCAGTTGCTCCAAGGGAGAAAGATGAGACTTTCTGCTCCCATAAAGATTTACAGCCTCAGAAACCCTATACAGCATTGCTATGAGTCAAAAACAACTTGGGGGCACAAAACTACCACCTGCATCATACTTGAAAATGGTGTCTTCTAATTCACACAATTAGTGATTTGAATCTAGCCCAAGTGGTTGGATTCTTAACATTACCCAGTATTTCTTTTATTTGTTGTTGTTAAGTGCTATTGAGTCAGTTCTGACTCAAAGCAACCTTATACAGGGTTTCCAAGGATGGTCTAGTGAATTTCAACTGCTGACCTAGCAGTCCAGTGTTTTATCCCAAAGTGCCATACCAAGATTCCATATTTCTTTAACCTACATATAAATAACAAAAATTATTATCATTCTTGTAAAAGAGTCTAATAACTGTGAAAGTATCCTGAATTACTGAAGAATGTCTTTTAATGTCTTCACAGACAAACATCTGAAAAGTGTCACTCAAAAAATCTCTCTTCCCACTCCTCTCACTCATTCTTCAGACAGTACTGACTCATAGCAACCGTATGCACAACAAAACAAAACACTGCCTGGCCCTGGGTCAATCTCACAATCATTGCTATGCCTGAGCCCATTGCTGCTGCCATTGTGCCAATCCATCACATTGGGTGCCTTCCTCTTTCTCTCTGACCCTCCACTATACCAAACATGATATCCTTCTTCAATGACTGGCCCCTACTGATAATATGTCCAAAGTATTAGAGATGAAATTTGGCCATCCTGGCTTCCAAGGAGCACTCTGGCTATACTTCTTCCAACACAGATATGTTGGTTCTTTTGGCAGTCCATGGTACTTTTAATATTCTCCTCCAACAAGATAACTCAAATGCATCAATTATTCTACTATTTTCTTTATTGACTGTCCCACTTTCACAAGCATATGGGGTTATTGAAAATACCATGGCTTGGGTCGGGTGAACCTTAGTCCTCAAATTGACATCTTTGCTCTTCAACACTTTAAAGGTGTCTTCTGCAGCATATTTGCCTAATGAAATATATTATTTGATTTCTTGACTGCTGCTTCCATGACAGTTGATGGATTATCCGAGCAAAATAATTTTCCATTCAAGGGGAAACACTTTGTTGAATTTTTTTTTTTTTTAAGTTTTTATTGTGAATTGAGTGATAGTTTACATGGGAGAACATCAGTTATACATTCATCCACCACACTTTGTCTCATTGTAGTGATTACAATCCCCTCCATGTGTCATCATTCAATAGTATTTGCTTCTATTCCCTCTGTAGTGTTTTTTTTTGGATGTGCACCAAAACACTGAGGAATATACAATCATTCAACAACCAAAGGGCATACTCTGCAATCCCCTAGGCCACCAGCACACTCCTCTCCCTTCATAAGTCTAGAGTCCCCAGCCTCTCCATCTCTCCATGTCATCATCTCTGCCTCCTTCTCTGGCGCTGCTGCTTCTCTGAATAGGGTCCCACACTCTGCTCCCTCTCCTTTCCCTTGATGGCCCCAGGATCCTCTGCTCCTGGACTGCAAGATGAACCACTCCAACCTTTTTGCTATAAAACCTCTAACTTTACAGTTGCAACACTCTCAATCAGTCATGATAACAATTACTCACTATTGAACCTTAAGAGTCTTAAACCCATCTCCTTTCACCAGCCCCATCTAGACAAGATGAAAACCACTCATTGGAGAATTCTACCTTACCACACACTCTGAAAATAAACTCCCTCTTGAAAACTTGTAAGCCAGTCACTTTGTGCCTTTATAGCTCCCCCATTTTAGGTAGCCATCCTTATCAACCCTATTTACAGTGGGGATGAGAATGATCCTTGCTGTGAAGATTTTTCTTCTTTGTTGGTATTTGAAGGTACTACATTCATAAGTATAGGTCAAGTTCACCAAATTGTAGTAATTTACACATGTTTTCTTTATAAAAAATTAAATTATTGAGTGTGTGTGTTTTTTTTTTAAATCAGGACTAGATGTTGGATTTTGTCAATTGCCTTTTCTGCATCAATTGATATGATCATGTGGCTCTTTTCTTTGATTTATTTATATGGTAGATTACATTGTTTGTTTTCTAATATTGAACCATCCTTGCACCCCTATGTTATGCCTCCCACTAGGTTATGATGTATTATTATTATTATTATTATTATTATTATTATTATATATGTTGTCTTGGGTGGGTAAAGGATGAGAGGGTAACACTCAACCCTAGATGGAGTTCCTGTATTGCCTGTCAGGAAGTTGTTTGTGCACAACCCAAAGAAGCTGCGGAATCAGGATATTTTCATCATAGAGGGTAGCTAAGGGTGGTTTCTCCTAGTTCAAGACTGGCCTGAGCTGGCCCTGCAGATCTGGATTAGGCTACATCTGATTCCAAGTTCAAGACTGGTTGTGTTAGCTTCACACACATTTTGGTGTGAATTTGACAGCCCAGAATGCAGGGGTTTCCATGGGAGTGTACACAGATGGCAGCCATAGCTTTGGTCACCAGGGTAATGTAGGGTACAAGAAAAGATATATTTTGCCCTTTTCTTTACATCAATAAGCACTATGCCTCTGCACCACTTACTGCCCTTTTGCCCATGAAAGTTCAAGAAGTCCACACTGCAGCCTCAGCCTGCTAGCTGGCACAGACCTCCAGTAGCTCTCTCCTGGCTCCTCCCTGCCACCCCCCACCCCCAATCATCTGTTCAGTTGTTTTTCCTAGTGAGAGCTAGTTCAGGGATGGCCAGGGCTGACTGTGGATTTGGAGCAGGGCCTACCCGAACGTGGCCAATGCAGATAGCTTCTCATTCCTTTATTGGAGTCCACAATTTCGGTGTTCACCTCCATGCAACTCTGACCTCCAGGAAGGAGGGAATTTCCCTGGAGTGTACATGGAGGGGGACCAGCCTCGCCTCTGGTCACCAGGGAAATGTGAGTAACAAGAAAAGAATTGTACCTTTTATCTCCATGAGCCACAAGTATATTTCTGCAGCACCACTGTTTCTTTGTCTCTGAAGCTGCTTACAAAAGCTCAAGATGGTTGTGCATCATCTGGTTGGCAGGCATAGGTCACCAATATCAACTATTTTTGCTGGATGTGCTCAGCTCTGTCTACTAGTCAGCATTCAGTCCACTTCTCTATCCCTTCATCTGAAGCTCAGTTCTAGGACTATGTATCTGTTCAATGTGGTTTTCCTTACCTTTGTTGAAGACGGTGCATACAGACTTTCTGCCTGGTCTCCCATCTTTCTGTCCCCCTTCTCTATCTCTTTGATAGAGACTGAATTATACTTTATTGTAACAGAAAATGTAAATTGAAAAATATCATTAGTATCACATATAAGCAAAATTTTGCTGAAGATAATTTAAAACTGGTTGTAGAAGTATATTGATAAGGAGCTGCCGGAAATTCAAGCCCAATTCAGAAGAGTATGTGGAATGAGGAATTTCATTGCTGATGTCAGCTGGATCTTGACTGCAAGCAGAGAATACCAGAAATCTGTATAGTTGTGCTTTAATGACTATGCAAAGGCATTCAACTGCGTGGACCATGACAAACTATGGACAACACTGTGAAGAATGGGAATTCTAGAATACTTCATTGTGCTCATGAGAAATGTGTGTGTTTACCAAGAGGCAGGCATTAGAATAGGATAAGGATGACTGAATGGCTTAAAATCAGGGAAGGTGTGCATCAGGGTTATATCCTTTCGCTGTACTTATTCAGTCTGTATGCTGAGCAAATAATTGGAGAAGTCATTTTATATTCATCAGGATTGGAGGAAATCTCATTAACAACCTGTAATAGTCACATGACACAATTTTCCTTGCTGGAAAGGAAGAGGAATTAAAATAATTTCTGATGACGATCAAAATCTGTAGCCTTCAGTATGCATTGCACTTAAATGTAAAGAATACAAACATCATCATAACTGGAGCAATAAACAACATCATGATAGATGGAGAAAAGATTACATTGTCAAGGATTTCATTTCACTTGGACTCACAAACAATGTCCCCCAAACCAAATGATATATTGCATTAGGCAAATATGCTGCAAAATACCTTTTTAAAGTGTTCAAGACTGAAGATGTCACTTTGAGGACTAAGATGTACTTGAACCAAGCCATGAAAGGTGGACAATAAATGAGGAAGACCTGAGAAGAATTGATGCATTTGAATTATGGTGTTGGCAAAGAATAGTGAAAGTATCATGGCCTGCCAGAAGAAACA